AGCCCATATCTCTTTGGTTTCACGTAAAGTTTGCAACTTTACGTGCAGAATAGACTTGGGAAGAGTGTATCTATGAGTTGGAGCCCCTGCATGGCTCGAAAAGCCACTGTATGGATTAAGAACTGAAGTGACTCGGCGAGTCCCATGGGTGGACTCGGCGAGTTGGATGAAGATGGAAATGGACTCGACGAGTTGGAAGAACAACTCGGCGAGTCTGTTGAAGATTGTCATGGACTCGGCGAGTCTGTTCTTGGACTCGGCGAGTCAGGTCGCGAAGCACTAACCCCTTCTGGTCAAGGCTCATATCAGTGAGTTGAATGGTGACCCAGTGAGTTTGACAGGATGGGACTCGGAGATTGTTGAACTCGATGAGTCTTGGGGTGACTCGGCGAGTTGGGTCGCATTATGAGAGTTCTGAGTATATGTACTCGACGAGTCAAAGGACTGACTCGACGAGTAGACTCAGCCAGAAAGATTGACTTTGACCAGAGTTGACTTAGTTTGGCTTCTAGAGTTCAGTTGGAAGTAAGTGATATATGTATTGATATTGGTAGCTCGGGGAGCTAGTGGAGCAGTGGTTCATAGAATTGTCGGTCAGTAGCAAGAGGGTTATCAGCAATTTCAGCAGTGCAGGCGAGTTTCCCTTTGTGTGAATGTCAAATCTATTTATAGGGCAAATTTGGCCCTTGCCACGTCGTGGGATCCTTTTGCCACGTCGTGGGCTTGATCGTCACTGCATGCGTCATCCCAAGTTGCATCTGGGGGCCTCCCGGAGGTGTCAGGACACTTGCCACGTCGTGGCACTGCTTGCCACGTCGTGGTCTCTGACAGTTTTGGGGTTTCGCGCCCCGAACTTCAGAAATTCATAACTTTCGCATACGAACTCTGTTTTCGACGTTCTTTATATCGCCGCGAAGGTGAGATTATGCTCTACAACTCTCGTTTAGACTCCATTGGATAATTTTGAATTTATTTTTAATATATTATAAGTATATTACTTATATATTATCTATAGTAGGCCGGGACAGGAAAACTCCGTTCGAAATTCATAACTCCTTCATCTGAACTCTGTTTTCGTTTTTCTTTTTATCGTTGGACTACTATCGAAGAAATCTTCGACTCTCGTTTAGATCACTAAGGCTAGATATCTATCTACCTTAAATTCACTATTTACATCGCGCTGGGTCACGCTAGGTCGTGTCGGTTGTATCGCGAAACTTCGACAGGTCATAACTTCTTCGTTATAACTCGGATTTTGGCGTTCTTTATATGCACGGAAACGTTGTGACATATACTAAAACTTGGTTAAGATTAATACTTCTAAATAATGTTCCATCAAAAAGTCATTTTTGATGCTTATCGTCTCTAAATTGACTAGCCCGGATCTACGGGCGTTATAATTATGGATTCACATTCAGCAATGACCTCATCCTCCTTAAACTCAACGAAGGGCAAGATCATCTAATGAATCTTTTTCCCTATTTCACAATCTAAATGAAATTGAGTAATATTAGTATATAAATGTTTAGCAACCAAACAAAAAATGTTTCTTCGTTTTAAATACTTTAAATTGTCTCACTATAAATAAATAATCTCATCCTTAGCCCTAGTTAACTTTGTCTCCTTTAGCTCCATCCACATGTGTGTCTCCTCACTCTTCGATGATTTCCTGTTGAGTTGGTTAGTTAGGTTAGAGTTTGTTAAGCGATTTTGCATGAGACTACTTCTTAGATTTGTAAATTTAAATTGAAGTTCGTTTAATTCTTCTTCATAATTTGTGACGGGAACTTTAAGACATTCGAGGATGGAATGTACCTTTTTGATCAACCGATCGCAGTCGTTAATCCTTCCACTCATGGGATTTGCTGCAAAACACTTGTCCTCTTTCAAGTTCGGCTCCTTACGCTCGTCTTCTGTTGATACTACTGCATTCACCATCAAGCACTTCCTAGCCGAACTGTTAACTTCCTCTCTCGCCACATATGCTCTGCCATGCGAGGGCTTCCTCACTTCTTCATCCTCAGAGTCTGTTGACCAGACTTCAACGCCTCCAAACTCATCATCGACCACATTCTCCTACATAATCAAGATATTCATAGAAC